AAACTTAAACAAGGATATTGGGTTTTGTGTAGAAACTTGGTGATGAGAATATGGATATATTTAGTACTAGAATTTACATTAGAACGAAATTGTCGCTCATATTCTTGGGAAGACCTACTCTACAATTACGGATATCAAAGCCTACGGTTACTTGTCAAGACATTAAAAAGCAATTTTAGGCAAGTTAGTATTATGCTTATTGAAATGTTAGGGGTTATTTTGAAAGTGATTAAGATGTGTTGGAACCATATTCTGAAACATATTTTCTTCTGTAAAATAAACATTTAAAAGTAGTCGTAAAGGTAAACTCTAGAAATACATAAGATATGTTAGAGAACATAAAGATTTATTTATTAATCTTTATTGATATATTTATTTAACTCATTTTCAATAGTTATGTTATTTTATTAAGTCCTACAATGTGGCTTCATTTTCAAAATCATTATTTCAATATAATTGAAAACTTCATTTCAAATGTGAACATTATTTAAATAGTGGTTGCAACTATATTTTTTTGTATTGAAATGCACTCTCAACAACTATTAAAATGATTATTTAAATAGTGGTCGAATTTCAATAGTGTTTGCATACTATGGTTGTAATTGAAATAACTCTCAACCATTATTGAAATAACTACACACTTAGAAAACTTTATAATATTTTTAAATATAAAAAAGATATGTTCCTTAACCTAGAAAGTGTTGCTGCATTCTTTGAATAAAAAAATGTTGTTTTTTAAACGTTTAACATTTTAATCTAACGTTTGTTCAGAAAGTTCTCACTTAACAATCTATAGTTCAGTAACATTTTCCGTCTTCTGATTATTGAAAATTAACTTCAAAGTGATAGGGAACGTATGATCAGGAATTTAATTTCTATATATACCTCTCACATAGAAGAAAAAAACTGCAACTTATAACACTGCACTGCTAATGACAGCAGTTAAATTTGCTTTTGATATCTTAATTGGAGCAGCATGGGGAAGACTTTATCATGGCGGCTGCTGACGTAGTGTAGACCGATTAAATGCCAGATGGCTAAAATCAATATGTTTATTACTACAGAGAAATAAAATCCCTTCCATCAAAAATAAGTTTATTCTAGCAATTGTTTATTTAACATTAACATCCTTCTTGGACACATGCCAACTTTTAAAAAGTTGGAATTAAAATTAAGTGAATTAAAAACTTCTGCAGCTAAGTTTAAAATTTAAGTTTAATGCCCAGTTACCTGCCTTTTATTATCAATTCCAAAGGAATAATCGATTAACTACATAGACTTTTTTAAAGATCTCAATAATACCTGAATAAGTACAAAAGACATTATAGAAGAAAAGTAACATGTCTTGATAGATATTTAATTTTAAAGTAGAAAAAAAGATAAGAAATATCTGAAGAAATGAAAGATTTATAGAACTGCGACAAAGCTTAACGGGTTGAAATCTGGTTGTCACGTCGCATTACATCAAGTGATTGCTCCGCGAATCCTTTGACCTCATAGTAAAAATCGTTGTAAATTTTCAAAATTTTATAATATGGACCTGATTGCTTACATACCAATAAACAAAATGTAGGAATTTATTCAGACATTTTTCTAACGACCCTCGTATTAAAGCAATAAATAACTTATATTTTCAATTTCAGGTAGAGTATGTCCTTGCAATATTGAAATTTGTTTATGATATGCATTCAGTAGACATATTATGCAATATCATGTGACTGTCTATCGATTGAGACCAAACTTATTTTATTCCGTACAGAGTTAGTTATACTCTGTTATTTTAGAAAATATTTAACACATGTGATACATGTTATGAAACAGTTTTTTAAAATAAATTTAGTTTAATATGTTCCCTTATTTTGTGCGTGTATGGTATGTTGATTTCTTCATAGTTAGCCTTAAAAAAGCTGCCCTTTCAACAGAGTACAGCTGTTTTGTGATTACAAAGTTAACCTTTGGTTGTCTTCGTTTTGTATTTAAGCACATAAAATGACTGTTACTCAAAAAAAGCTAAAGAAGACGACCTCCTAAAGAGTGTTTTGTGCGACAGTATTCAAATGAAGAAGAAAATAAAGTCACATCCTTATTTATCTTTTTTAAACGATGAAGTAAATATATGGTCAAGGACAAGTTCATCTGGTCCAATGGCTTTACTGAAAACCATTAAGGTTGTTTTAGCGAAAATACATGATCCCAGGGACAGTTGTTCTGGTATTTAGATGGGTCTCTATTGATCATAAAGTGAGAATTCTTTCATCAATTAGAATAAGTTTTTTTTGTGTATACTAAGACCTTAATGTTAACGTAAGGATATAAAAAGGTATCACTGCCTAGATTATAAATTTTACGGCTCTAAGTCAGGTTTTCTTGTGTAAGTGAGCGGATTCAAGTATAAAGTAAAAATGCTTTCATTCTTTATTACAAAATACATGTATATCTGTTTACTAAATGGACAAAAAAATGTATGATTATGATAAGCAAGGCACATTCTTCTTTAAAATCAAAACCCAGAGTCCATTGCCCTTCCTGAAAATTAAATGTTTTATCAAATAAAGTACGTTGAAATTTTTGATAGTTTTATTTTTAATGCAAATTTTAGTTTTCTTTTCAAAATAGACAACATTTGGACCCATGATGTTAAAACAAGATTTAAGGAACAACTTCGAGAAAGTAATTTTCAAATGGTATGCACATGACGCATTTACAGTTCACAAAGATGAATGTAATTCACAAAGTTACCTTAAGAAATAGCACTGATTTTTTTCTGTATAGGCTTAACCTTTCTGCTCCAAAGTATCTAGTAATTAAGTTCATGCATATAATAATAATAGATGCCTCTATCAATATCTGGAGTTCTAAACCCCTTGAACGTTTTGACTCCTTTTTTCAATGATTTTTGATTAAACAATGTGTGAGTAAATACTAAAAATATAGTTGACAAAGAAGTCTCAAATACTCAATGCATTCTTAATTGAAGTGTTATACACACATGTATCAAATGAAAAAACATGATACAATCTCAAATCTTCAGTCGACGATCAGTAATATTATGTCAAATGGATTCTTATTTGTAACGGAAAAAAACTTTGTTCTTATACCAATTTGATGTCATTTATGAACCTTAGCTAAAGTTTCGGTAGGTATTTTGTAAATTCTGTGGTGAATTTAATGACCTGTTATAATTTATAAGCTATCATTGAGTTGTGTTTTAAAAGCTTTTGTTTTTGCACTTAAGCTCTTTGAAAAGGAATTCCCGGTCTACCTGATAAATTACATAGGAATCAACACTAATGTAACCAGTGACCGAATGTGTATTTTTTCTAGGCACCTTGTCCTACCTCTAATCTCTTTATAACCCAGTTCGCAAATACATGACATTGTATCCATATTTTATTTTAGATTTTGTATTTGCGTTGATTTCTGGTCACATAGAAACTTGAAATTTTACTTTTGTGATAACAAAACAATTTAACCTCCTCCTATAGTTCACAATAGAGCTATGGACGATGCACGTCAGAAAGAGAACAACATAAACAAAGCAAAGAATGAACACAGTTATTCTTAGCAAATATGTATCTGATTAATTTGGTAGTTTTTTGGTGTTAAAAAACCTATAAAATGATTAGAATCCGTCATATCGCAGTTGAAAATATAATTAATTAAATTTATTACATTTGATGATACATTTTACAGTATATTTCTTTGTTTGGACTTTGGACGAATGTTCTTCTTTTGCGACAGTGCGACTGGTCGGCACTTGATCCTACCTCTGATGTTTTAGAGGCCCCTGTTTGCTCTTCTCCAAAATATGTATTGGACTTTTGAGCTTGAATATTGTCTGTTATCTCCATATATTTTATTACAACAGAAAATTTCAAGTTAAGTTACAGTTTATTTAGAACACTCACTATTTTACATCATGAACATCATTTTATATTTAAAAAGTTTCAAGAATGTTCTGTTTTAAATAGCTATATAATTTCAGAAAAGTAAAATAAAAAGAAATGAAAAAAAAAAAATAAAAAGTATTGGGATTAACAAAGGTGATACGATGTCTCTTTTATCAGAGACGTTTTTCATCAGCCATCAGACCGCAATACCTGCTTCTTGTTTTGAATTATTGTCTGTTGAGTATGAAAAGATTTTTTTTAACTTATATTATAGTTAGCAAAGTATGTTTTCCTCAGAAAATGTATAAGAAAATAACCACAATCCAGAATATTGGAAACCAATTATTTCAGCTTAAATGTTTTAAAAAATGATTATTAAAAATGATTAAAACGTAAGTAATGTGTAATCAGAATGTATAATGCAGATACTGATGAAAAAAAGTATTTGTAATTAATATTATGTATCTACTGTATATATTTTATAAAAAGGTATCCATAATGCAAGAATGAGAATAAATGTAATGATGATGATGATACAGAATGTTTCAGCAATCCTGTGCCGACTTTGAGGTTACAAAATAATGTTAGACAGATTTAATATAAGACTATTTCTGTTAAAATAAAAATAACATAACTGAATTATTTTTAATACATGAAATGCTGAATAAATAATTTAAGACAGGGATTTTAAATGTTTGTACATCAGAAGTAGTTTTTAATTTTATGTTATTTTTCGTGTCCAAAAAAAAAAAAAACAGCTGTGTTTTTTGTCAGCATCCTAATTTTGTCAAAGAAAGATGCTTTTCATATGATTAATTCTTTCAAAATGATATGCACTCCCTACAGGTGATTTTGGTCATTTTGGAGATTTTGTATATGATTTTATTTTTGGAGAATAAAAACCTGAAATTTTTGAAGAAGCAATCAAAAGGTCAATGAAAAAAAAATATGACGGTTTTTTTATATTCTTTATATCAAATTATATTGCAGGGAAATGTCCTATAAAAGATTGATAATTTTGTAAATATCTTATTAGTCTGCAAAAATATTAACATCAAAAGACGGAGCATCTTTGTTGAAACACCCTGTATATTAAAATGTGTAATATGCCTAATGTCGTCTAATCATCAGAATAGTTTCCGCTATATCGTCACCATTATCAAATGGCGGATACCAGGGTTGGTACCAGTTTAACCATTGACCGTTGAGGTAGGCGTCGTTACAGTTGTTAAACCACCAGCCCCCTCCTCCTCTGTATTCAGCAGCACAGTTACCACCACTCCATCTGTCTCTGTCCCTGTCCAGGGTGGTGAATGGCATTCCGGACATATCGTTGCTAGAAGACCCCGTGTCTAACATTCTGTCCCCTGTAAAATTGAAGAAAAAGAATGATAAAAAAATATTACACACATGTTGTCAATATATTGTACTGAAAATAACAAAATTAAGCTGTATGTACAATGGAAGAATTTATTTTATATATACACCTAAATAAGCAAATACCTACTGAGTAATGAAGCTAAATTCATGTTACATCAAGGAAAAGGGTCGCCCGCGTGGAGCAGTGGGGATATTGTCCGATCTATAGTCGCAAAGTAAGGAGTTGATCCTTACGTCGCAGGTTCGAATCCCGCTGTTGGACGTGGAGACCGGTCCCTCGGATAAGACAGTATATATACCGAGGTCCCGTGTCGCAGAAGATGCTGGCACGAAAAAAATCCCTCCCTACTCAATGGCCCTGAGTGCCGAGTATTGGAAAAAAAATTGCAGCTCTCCAACGGCAAGTGGTGGCGTCTCCATATGAGTGAAAAATTCTCGAGAGATACGTTAAATAATATACAATCAACCAATCAACGAGAAGGTTAGAGTACATAACTAACAAAGTCAAATAAGTTGCCCGTAAGAATTACAAAATTTTAGCGAAATGGGAAGACACCCAGTAATAAGGGTCAATAAAACACTGGGGCGCTTAAACGAGGTAAGCCTTACTAGAAAAGGATGATCAGAGAGGATTGTATTCCTGCTATCTCCTACAGAATGAGTAATGTCAAAACCTTATTAGTCCTACATGTTACAATGTAAAATGTTGAACATATCTAAAATCCTATAAATATGACCGTATCTGTGTCCAATTATGATTTGATTCTTACATCTGCCTCTCACCTTTTGCTTACAACGAACACAAATCTCTTTTAAACCAGTTTTTCACCCGATCTGCCGGATCTGGTAGTGATGCTCACTCCTCCATGGCACCTAATCCCATTTCTGATGTTAAGAGGTCCGTATTTGCTTTGCTCCCATTTTATATTGTCAATGGACTTTGAGCTTTAATACTGTTCGTTGTCTTCATATATTTCATTCCATTCTTCGCAAACCAGACAACAGATTAAAAAAATGATAAGAACTGAAACGGACTTGAAATACACTATAAACTTTGACCTGATTAAAGCGGATACATAAACAATTACGCTTATAGGATAGAATACAATTACATCACTTCAAGTCTACAAATCATCAAATGAAAAAAAAAAAGAAAAAACTAGAATTTTTTTTTGGTTAAAAATTGTTTGTTTAAGGTTCATACATTGTTTTCCACTTTTCACTCACCTAACGTTCCCGTGGCAGGTCCTGACAGAAATAATTGATACTTGTCTGCTTCATCAGAAACAGAAAATTGATTGTATAATTCGTACAGTGTTGCACCATCAGACATTCTGTTCAGGCGTTCCGAAACCATTTTTATAGTCAATCCAGTTCCTATCAATGGACAAAGATCCATCTTTTTGTTTTTGAATGGCCTTGAAAAGATTAACATATTTTAGTTAAAGTATATCATTTAGAAAGATAGCAAGATTCCAGTTCCCAAGGACCAAACCTAATTCCCGAGGCGCAGTGATGATTAATCAGGTATCCCGCCAATTTGATAGACAACAAAATCAATAATTCCAGATAACAATTTCTTAATAAATAACCTACCGTCCATCCCCCGCCCATTGTCGTCATATCGCAGTACACAGGAATAGGGATGGTTCTGGTCCCAAAGGGGTAGATTTCATACACACCTGTATTAGTGTGACCATTATCAAGGAGATCCTTACAATCAATAGGAACAGCTAAAACAGAAGAAAACAAAATCAAAGGAACAATAAATAGGGAAATGATATAAACAATTGCAAGATAAAAACAAAACTACAGAGACAGGAATTTGAACTACAAATTACAAAAAAGGGGCAATCTTTATTTTCGTATTAATATTTAGGTTTTAAACTTGGCAGTTTAAGTTAAGGAATGACTCTAATTCTTGGTCAAATAATTTTATATACCCGTAAGCTGACCCAAACCATTACAGAACAAGTTTTGCAAAATAAAGTGTCAAATTTATAGATTAAACTATATAAAATTTATTCAAAGTCTGTCCGCATTAAGTAAGGGGTTTGGGTCAGTTTTCACTTTGTAATCCGCGAAGCGTATTATAAAAAAGAGAAAACTGACCCAAACCATTACAGTACAAGTTTTTCAGAATAAAGTGTCAAATTTACAAATTAAACTACATGTATATAAAATTTATTCAAAGTCTGTCCGCATTAAGTAAGGGATCAATTTACATAAATGGTATCTTGAACCTTATCAATTTTTACCGATATGTTTTATGTAAGCTTCTTTAAAAAATCATTTTTTAAATTTTATGTGCGATCCAGGAATCAAAAGCTATTTCTAATATTACAGCCAATACTTAAAAAAGGCACATTCTTTTAAATATCGAAGTGATTCGAGACTGCATTTTTCTATTTGTTCAAAATGATAATGGAGATATGTCATTTACAGTATAGTCTCCTTTTAAAACATTATTTTTTCTCTTTCTTTGACATGATTATATTATATCATATGGAATTTAAATTTCAATAATTGCTGGTTAAAGAAAAAGACCAAAGATGGAGCAAATATCAATAATACACAAGCAATCATAAAATATAAATATATCAATTGAAAATCAAAATTATGAATATGATCATAATAAACAATAATTTAAACAAAAATATCATTTAGAAATAATTTTGATTAGATTAATGAGTACTTTTAGAAATAAATTAGGGAGACAATTTCTGAGATAGGACACAAACGAACGCTGCACTGTTAAGGAATTCTATGAAAAAACAACGGAAAACAGACGTGCAAAAAGGGGGATTTTTTTTTAAATTCAATTTATTGTAATTAAGCTGTTTTATTATCTCAGAACTTTAATACATATTGAAATAGCATATAACCTACTCTGTACTGTACGATGTTTGTCCCATCGATGGACAGTCACGTGATGAATGCATAATTCGTGTACTGAATGAAGGTCATTAAACAATTTCAATATCGCAAAGGCATACCCTAGTTGAAATTAAAAATTCCAGCTATTAAATGTTTCTGCATACTTTCTTGTTTTTGAAAAGTGCTGCTGCATTGAATAGATTTTGCGTTTTAATAGTTAAATTTTCAAGTAAATATGCCAATGTCGAAATATGTTTGACTTTTACCAAATATTTTGTGAATTTATAAAATCGCGGCCTCGGTTAAAAAAAAAACCAACTAGACTTTTCAAGTAGCTGCTTTGAATAAAGACAAAAGAAAATATCCTTTATTTATGTTTAAAAATGGTTCAGGTATATCCAGTGTATGTTCATGCGCAAGTACGATCTTATGAGGCATTTCGATGTAAAATATACGTAACCTGTACATTAGAACATAAAAAAATTAATAAAATACATTCTTTGTAGTTATTTAAATAATCGCACTAATAAAAAGATATACATTGGTATTAATTGACTATTCAAAATCTGTAAATAATATTACATTTGATAATATAACGCACTTTTCATTGTTAAAAAAATCCTCAATCTGCTTCTAACATCACATGAAATACGTCATTGTTTTCCAATATGATGTCATGTTTACAAGTTCACCTTGATCAGTGCTTTGTTTATAACCAGCTACTTGGGATTTAACTAGCAACTCTTTTAATGCATTGATAATAATAATTATTATAATAATTAAAATAATAACATTAACACCGTATTTTGTTTTTTATATAAAATGTGAGAAAAAAAGAAAAAAGAAAATAAAGCATACAATCATTGAAGAAATATTTCCAGCCGGCCTCCTCAATGACGTTAGACGTAAAGATTTTCTTGTGGGTCCGGCACTTCTTCATCACAGAATTGTATCCAAACATGCCACACTCCTTTTGACACATGGCAGCACACCTTGTCTTCGAGTGCGCTTCGCTTTCTCTTAAGAGTTCGTTACTTGACTTTTTATTATTAAAGTCAAGGTCTACAGTGTATCTTCGTGAGAAAATGGTAGCTTGAGATATGGTGAAGAAGAGAACAATTAAATATATAACCTGAAGTTTGCCCATGTTTTTCTTTGCGTGCACGAAAGAAACATCCAAGTCCCTAGGGGGAAACTGCATATTGTCATGAAGGCTGCCAAATTTAAATATTATAGCTTCAAGGTTTAGCAAACTTTGATTGGCTGTTCTAAAGGTTTTTAATATTTTGCTTTAGCTGCAATATTGATTTTATGAATGAAAAGCATTCGAAATTAAGCATGCATATTGAAATCTTGATACAGCTAGTAAAAAATTCTTTATGGAATACCTTTCTATGATAAGAAAACGAATGTGTGTATTCTTTTTTTCTATGTCTATTTTTTTTATTTTTTAAGGAAACGATGTAAATTGATTAGGAAGGATATGGAAATAACGAACAGTATTCAATCTCAACGTCCATTACACAAAAATACAAAATAAGAGCAGAGCAAACACGGACCTCCCAAACATCAGAGGTGGGATCAGGTGCAATGGAGGAGTGAGCATCCCCTGACGACCGGTCACACCCGCCGTGTGCTCGTTGTCATAATCAGAAAAAACGGAAAAAAAATCCGTGGTCAATTCAGTGTATAAATAATGGACTAACAATTGGTATGAAAAACGTCAGTCAGCATTTCATTCAATGATAAATTGTATTTGCTGACAAGGTCATTGTATCGACCATAGAATTTACGAAATGATGACTTTAAACGAGACTGTTGATATTCGTGTTTCATCAACTTGCTTGTCAATAATTTACCTCGTTTAAGAAATTGTTCATACGTAGAGCATGCTCTTGCGTATCGAATCAACTGAGATATAAATACTCAGTATGCAGGTGATGAAGGTATATTGCTGCATAAGTAAGGGAAGTTGACGATAGAAAAGTTAAAGTCATCACGTTTATCATATAGCTTGGTTGTTAGATTACCATTAGTGTCTTTTTCAAGTAAAATATCCAAGTATGAAGCAGAAGTGTCGGACTCTGTGGTATCTTTTATCTCAAGCTCATCAGGATATATCGTGTCGACGTAGGAATGGAAATTATCATTATTAATTGACAATACGTCGTCGATATATCTAAATGTCGAGTTGAAGGCCACAGCAAGTGTTTTCTTCTTTTCACGCAAAAGATTTTGCATAAATTCTGCTTCATATGAATATAAAAATAAGTCGGCTAATAACGGAGCGCAATTTGTACCCATGGGAATTCCAATAGATTGTTGGAATACCTGGTCTCCAAAAACCACATAGATATTGTCAATCAGAAACTCAAGCATCTTCTTGATGTCAACTTCAGAGTACTTATGTGTGCAATCAGAATCTGTTTTAACAAAATAATTTTTCAAATGACCAATGACGAGGTAAGTAAACTTACGAGTTCCATTTTTGTTGAAGAAGCAGCTGTCAATGACATCAAAAAGCCTGGATTTTAATTTGTCGTTCGGAATTGTTGTGTATAAAGTTGAAAAGTCGTAAGTTTTTATGCTGTTGATTTTTGTAAAGTCTTGTGATTTCAAATTGTCCAAAAGTTCTTTAGAATTTTTAAGTATCCACATCTGATTTACACCACTTCTTGAATATATAGTTGTACAGTACTCTTGAAGTTTTTCCTTCACTACTGTCAATATTTTAGTGAGAAATAGCGAAAGAGGCTTGGTTGAACATTTACTGGAACCTGCAATGTATCTTTGTTTGTAAGGATTCTTATGAAGTTTCGGAATCCAATATATATAAGGTAGTTCAAATTCATTCTGCCTCTGTGGAATATTAAAAGTATTCAAAACTGACAGGTGATTTTGAAGAATTTCTTCCTTAGAAAGAGAAGTATATGTATAAGTAGGATTACCACTTGGAGAATTAAAATAAAGACAATGTTGTTACCTGCTTTGTCGGCAGGAACCAGTATGTGCTGATCGTGTAATCTTTCTACCGTAATTCTTTTTTCACTTCTGGTTTATTGAACACAGAAGGATAGATGGTTTTCATTTTGCCCTTCAATCTTTTAATACGTGACTTTAACATGGATCTGATACATTTAATCCATTCTGACAAGGTGTCAATATCTTCTTTTTCATATCTAGCCCATCGTCTTGCGTAATTTTCAACAGAATCCATAATTTTTATGAAATTCCAACGCCAGTTGAAGGATCGGGGTTCCCTTTATTTAGGACCTTTTAAAATAAGTCATCTGAGGTCCTCATTAGGAACTATTTTCACGTCACCTGTAATAACGTGTCCAGCAGGACTATAGTTATAGGGCGAAGAGGAACATGAACACGAAAGGGGATTATTTTTCAGATAGTCGATATCCAGGCCATGTAAAGTGTTTTTGTAATTGAAAAGTTTGTAAGCAATGGTCGATGTATATTTGTAGGAAATACAAGGTGTAGTCTTTAACTTGAAATATGGTGGAATACATATGGTGGAATACATGGAAAAAAAATAGACCATGTCTTCATTTATTTTAATTTGATATAGTCATAAAACGCAAAAACTGAAATACAAAAAGAACTACCTTTTTTCATGTTGATGATTATCAGTTTTAATTTCAGTATGATTTATCATGAGTGGTGGATATGTTCCACACCCTGAATTTGTACTTCCGATGTTTTATTCATAACTCAATGATGAGTTGAAAGTTATCATAGTATGAAAATATTTGTAATACATCAGTCATATATTTTATAAAAGTTTTTAAAACTTTAATTGCAATGTGAATACGGGTTGATAACAGACCACAAATTAAACAAGTAAAAAATTGTTTTTTTTTTTTTTTTTTTTTTGTTTTAAAACCAGAAAATGCAGGTATTTATGAGATATAGCGTGACATTGGTCACTCTCACTCATATTCTTTAAAGTCCGGATAAAGTTTTCGTCGATAATCTTCTTTCCGTCCTCCCATATAACCTGTTTAGAGAGGTCTAGTGGTCTAAACTTTCAATAAGCTACCTGTGGACGAATGTCACGAATACCCAAATTTACTTACCACAAGTTTTATTATGCATATTTGGGAACTATGTTGGCGATATCTCGAGAACTACACGTAATTTAACAATTTAACTGTGGTGCGCCGTCAATTCAGGAGACGTCATTTTCACAGTCGTTTTCACGGGAATCGCATCATAGAAAAATCACTATATTTCTGTTAGTACACCAAATAACATGTCAGAAATCTGAAAACATAATAAAAGTATGATTCAAAGATACAATTGAGAAAATTGTCGAAAAATATCAAGAATTATAGAAAAAATAATGAGTACAATTTTGGATTCCGCATGCTTTAGAATCATTTTTTTGTCGTGCTCCGTAGCTCTCCATCAGCAATATCAACAAACCGATAATTTAAGTTGAATTTTTCTAAAATTTAGAAATTTTATTGAAATATATTAAACACATATTTATGTGAAATTTCATAACTTTATGACTTCTATAAGAGTAAATTATGTAAACCTATAGGGTTTCGCACAGACATATTGTTTGAACATTTTAAGCTTAGACAATATTAATATCATGATCATTTTTAGTTTCTAGCAGTGAAAATAAAATAATATAAAGGCTTATTAAATCAGAATGTATATTATTACTGACGCAGATTCGGTGACTTTATAATTGGTAAAAAGAAGACTTTGATTTTTAAACAATTATTATCTTGTCAAAACAAATTGGATTTTTTTTGTTGTTCAAATCCACTGTAATTTGGTAGATCATTTTGTAATGAAATTGATCCGAATAGACCAATCAAGCCCATCGATAGTAAGTAATAAAATTGAACTGAAATACAGTGGTATTATCAAGAGTTTTGACTAAGAGCAATAAAATTGAGAACTTTGAAGTAAATAATTAAAAGAGCTTCTGGTGCAGAGATGGGGACTGAGCCGATAAATATTAGTAACATGTATTTTCCTACATTTGATACCCACTGAGCACAAAATACCCTGTTTTAGTCACAAAAAGTATTCCCGGGTTTATTCTCATATTATTACATCTCTATGGCCTTTATTATTTTTTTGGACTTTCGTTTATTTATTTATTTTGAGCAGTCTCATTTAAAGTCATTATTTCGTAAATTCTATGGTCGATACAATGACCTTATCAGCAAATACAATTTATCATTGAGTCAAATGCTGACTGACGTTTTTCATACCAATTGTTAGTCCATTATTTATACACTGAATTGACAACAGATTTTTTTCTGTTATTTCCTGATCATGATAACTAGCACACGACGGATGTGACCGGTCGGCAGGGAATGCTCACTCCTCCATGGCACCTGATCCCACCTCTGATGTTTCGGAGGTCCGTGTTTGCTCTGCTCTTATTTTGTATATTTGTTTAATGGACGTTGAGATTGAATACTGTTCGTTATTTCCATATCCTTCATTCAAATCAATTAAATAGTTAGCTTACTAAAATAAAACATCTAATGTAAATATTTGAATATAAACAGCAATTGAAATATCAAAGATGAATTTTTCTTTTGTGTTCTCTCTCTCACTTTTTTAAATTTCAAATTGGGTGTTTTTCTTTCTAAAGAGAACAATTCATACTATTTTCAACAGAAATGATTATTGAAGATTTGTCTTATAACTCTTTTTATGTATCTATTTTTTATCACTTTTAGCAAAGGAAATTTAAGGTTGTGTTCTATCTATCCATTAATTTGTTCGGTTTCTTACAGCACTTTCTTTACTTTTTCTAATGATCTATCAACATTGTTGGTAGTAAACTTTGATCATGTATTAATTGTTTATTTTATTTGGGTTTTAACGGCTATCAAGTAAGATAAGATCTATTCAGATAAAGGTGCTGGGTGATTACCCTCCAGTAAAACAAATATACGAGGGTTCTTCGAAATTTGTTGAGACATTCTGTGTATTTTG